CGAAGGAGTCTCAAAGTGGCTAACATTCTCCTTTCCCCTCCTCCCCCACCACAAACACTCTGTGAGGTGAGTGGGGCTGAGAGACTTCAGAGAAGTGTCAACCAAGTTGCCAACCAAGGATGCACAGAACTGCTTTCAAGTTTCCATAGACATCTGGGTGGCCACTGCGAGAACAGGATGCTGGAGCAGATGGGCCATTGGTCTGATCCAGCAGGCTCTTTGCGTTCTTAAAATTGATTATTGAATGTCCCTTGGGAATGATATCCTAGATCAATCCACATTGTTCACAAGAGTTGTATAGCCCTTCTGAATGAAAAGAGCCAGAACTTGTCAAGACAAAGAGGGCAAAGGGGCTGCAAGGAGACACATGACTTCCCTGCAAGAATCCTGGGAACTACAGTATGTTAATGGGGTTGGAAATGGTAACTCTGTGAGGACAAAACTACAGTTCCCAAGATTCTTTGGGGGAAGTCATGTGCTTTAAACCTATGGTGTGATTCCGCCTAAGGAAACTATGCTGCAGCAATATTTCAGAAGGCTCTCCTTGATCAGGGCTAGAGCAAGGCTTAAGCCAGGGATGGGGAACCCGTGGCCCTTCAGGTGGTGACAAACTACAACTCTCATCAGCCCTTACCATTGGCCATGCTGTCTGAGGCTGATGGGAATTGGAGTCCAACAACATCTGGAAGGGCACACATTCCTCATCCCTGACTTAAGGCTACCTGGTCCCCATTCTTAGACCTGAACCCAGTGTCCCTTTGCTTTGCGTGCAGAATGCTTCCTGTCTGCAGAATGTATTCCTCACAGCAAAGACACTGGCTCATCCACTACCCTTCACTCACCCTCTGGCCTTGGTGCTGAACAGAACACAGGGGGAAGTCGTAGTTTCTGGAGAAACTTTCCTAGCTATCAGCATCTTAATAAGAAATGTGAGTTGGCAATCTGACTGCGAAGGAGTCAAGAGAGGAGAGAGCGATGTGCTCCATTCACTACTGCTGACAGCTTGTTTCATGCAGAGATTTCAATCACATGCTGAGGAGGGGAGAATTGTCCAGTTGAGTTTTATTCATTTCCTTATAGGACTGCCTGTAAAGAAAAACAAAACAACAAAACCCCATCTCTTAAAACGTGATGGTTTAAAGCATGCTTTGTTCTGCATGTTGCATTTGTCTCTGGGGATGCTTGTCTTCAACTCGCAGCGAGTGCTAAGTAGAATCTTAATGAAACGATTCACAGAACTCAGCCCCTCAGAGTTGATTCAAAGTTTACCTGTTTCTTTCCTTGAGATTAATACTCACATATGAAATAGAAATTGAAATCTACCACCAAAGCCTGAAAATATGAAGGGATCATGCAGCAAAGAGCTGCCGTATGTGTTGGGCTTCTGAACAGTGGGGTGAGAAGCTCTGTCTTCCTGTGTGCTTTCAAAGCCCAGCAAACTTTTCTCCTAGGATGAGAGAAATGGCAGGGAGAAGGAGGGGGTTTCACCCTTCCCTCACTCGTCTCTCTTCCTCTCAAGCCTACCCCTACCAAAGACCCAACCCACCCCCCAAAAACCCCAGCTTTCACACCAGCAATGGGACTAGGCCCATGTTTCTGTGTCAACATAAGTCTGGAGCCTGGACAGTGTGTGGGGTGGTGGGATTGAAGACAGAAAGGGGAATCAGAACATGTAGTTCATCTGGAAAAAAGAAACACCCTCACTCTAAGATTCCTATATGAACAGACATTTACAGGTGGTTTGAAAAAATATAAAGCAACTTCCAATATATGCACATGCCTATATTTACATAGGGCTTTAAACATATTTTACTTTTATGTAGAGTGTATCTGTATTGTGCATTGTTCTTTTTGATATAGTCACGCTGGTGGTGCTGTGATCTAAACCACAGAGCCTAGGGCTTGCTGATCAGAAGATCAGCAGTTCGAATCCCTGCAACGGGGTGAGCTTCGGTTGCTCTGCCCCTGCTCCTGCCCACCTAGCAGTTCGAAAGCACATCAAAGTGCAAGTAGATAAATAGGTACCGCTCCAGCGGGAAGGTAAACAGTGTTTCCGTGCGCTGCTCTGGTTCGCCACAAGTGGCTTAGTCATGCTGGCCACATGACCCGGAAACTGCACGCCGGCTCCCTCGGCTAGTAAAGCAAGATGAGTGAGCAACCCCAGAGTCGTCCGCAACAGGACCTAACGGTCAGGGGTACCTTTACCTTTACTTTACAGACTAATTAAATTAATTTTATTCTATTAAGGTATGAAAGGAGGGAATTGGTGCTGGGTGACCTCCCCTCTGCAAGGCCCTTATTCCCTTCTGATGCCTTGAATGCTGAAACATGCAACGCTTGAGTACTCAGTATCAGGTACCCTGGAAGCCAGACTTAGTTGGGGAAGCTTTAGCTACTTGAGGTGAAGGAAAAACTGGCACCCTGAGCTCATTCTACATATAGATGACAAATTGATTAGCAGTTGTATCTTACTTAACTGGGGCTGAGTGGAAGTTGCTCAGAAAAGTAATTTCTGACACATGCTCTGCCCTCAGTACCTAAAAGCTGCCCACTCACCACCCCACTGGGTGTCTATTTGCTACATGTTGCAGAACGTTGGGTGGGCAGGAACCTCTAGGGGACAGCCAGGACTATGGCAGTACCTCGCAACACCTGCTGCCTAGGGCATATGCCTCATTCAACCTAGTTCTGATAGGGCCAGGATCACTCCAAACAAAACAAAACAAAACAAAACAAAACAAAACACAACACAACAAACCCTAAATGGGTGTGCCTACCTTTCCCCTGCAATCCTCTTCCATCTTCCCCAGGCAACATCAACGACACTTTTCTATGGGGGAGGAAGTAACAGACAGATGTGAGTTGCTAACTGGGATAGATACACACCCCATAACTCTTCTGACACATCCATAAAATTTACCCATGAATTCAAGCTCATGGGTAGCAACATAGTGGTTATATCATCAAGGGCAACTCCAAGTGAGTAACTTGCTCCAACACAGACTGGCAAAGCACTAAGGCCCCAGGAATCTCTTCCTCCAGTCTCCCCAAATCCACCTCTTTGGCCTAAGACTGTGAATCTATAGGAGACAAACTTCTGATCTGAAGGCAAGCATTTCTTCACCTTTATGTAGTCTCCTTGTAGGAAGCACTTATTTCCCCTTGTTTGGGTGTGGGTGGGTGACATCTACAAGAATCCCGTCTCAAGCTCTGCAGACTCCAGACCACTGGCCTCAGGTTCTGAGGGTTCCAGACTACAGACTATAGACTACACGCATCAGGAACCTTAATTGGTAGTGAAGCAGCCTGAAACTTGGCCATCTTCTCTGCCTCTGACTTTCAGCATGATGCCAGGGCCATACCAGTAAGACTGCGTGTTTGTGTGGAAGGAAGGAAGGAAGATAGATGAGAGAGAGAGAGAGAGAGAGAGAGAGAGAGAGAGAGAGAGAGATTCTGGGGAATCCAACTTTTTAACCACTTTCCAGATAGTGCACCCTATCTATATGCATGGAATCACTGAAGGCTAACAACCCTGACCCTTCAGAGTGAAAGTTGTCTGTGCTATAAATTATTATGTCTAAGTGACAGGAAAGGTAAAGCAAAATGGGAAGTGAGAAGAACGGAATGTAGCAAAAAGAAAAAGGCCTGGAATGTGAATGAGGGTGTAACAGTAGTAGAGGGATCAAATAAAAGGAAGAATGGCAGGGGAAATGTCCAGAGAGTCTTTAGGAATGTGTGCTGCTCCCTGGCTCCCCTTCACAGCTCTCCTGGCAAGCAGAAATGTGCTGATGCTATGCAAACAAGGCCTGGAGGAAAAGGGAAGATGCTAATGGATCTTCCGACTGAGCTATAAATACACAGGTGGTCAAGGTTTCGCAAAGAGTCATGGTGGGGCGGGGAGGAGCCAGAAGAGTTTTTCTTTAAAAAAAATTAGTAGAAGAATTTCATTTATGAAAAGATGGTGTGACAAAAAGAAAGAAGAAAGGGAGTGAGAATGAAAAAGAGAAAAAATATTCAGTCCATTCATTAGTATACAGGCGTAATTAATCTTATTCTCCTAATACACACATAGTTATCAATAACATAACATATTGTGAGTAAACTCATTCCAGATATCATTGTATTTATCCAAAGAAAGTCTGAGTCTATAAGCTGTCCATTCATATGTTGCCAACACTGTCATGTTGTCAAGCCATTGATAAAGTAGAATTGTATCTCTGTTCTTCCAATTCATCAGTATCAGTCTCTTTGCCACCATTGGGGAGCCAGAAAAGTCTTTACCCTTGATGGTGTATAGTCAGAAAGTTTTCAGCTGTGCAAGAACTAGGGGCGTGCGCCCTTTTGCGTCCCTCAAATATTTTTGGGGTGGTCCCAGCTCTCCCCCCCCACCATGTCCCAAAAAACATGGAGGCAAAGCACAGAGCTGAGCACAGTGGCCAGCTCTTCCTCCTCCTCCTCCTAGAATCATAGAATCATAGAGTTGGAAGAGACCACAAGGGCCATCGAGTCCAACCCCCTGCCAAGCAGGAAACACCATCAGAGCACTCCTGACATATGGTTGTCAAGCCTCTGCTTAAAGACCTCCAAAGAAGGAGACTCCACCACACTCCTTGGCAGCAAATTCCACTGTCGAACAGCTCTTACTGTCAGGAAGTTCTTCCTAATGTTTAGGTGGAATCTTCTTTCTTGTAGTTTGGATCCATTGCTCCGTGTCCGCTTCTCTGGAGCAGCAGAAAACAACCTTTCTCCCTCCTCTATGTGACATATATATTTGAACATGGCTATCATATCACCCCTTAACCTCCTCTTCTCCAGGCTAAACATGCCCAGCTCCCTTAGCCGTTCCTCATAAGGCATCGTTTCCAGGCCTTTGACCATTTTGGTTGCCCTCCTCTGGACACGTTCCAGTTTGTCACTGTCCTTCTTGAACTGTGGTGCCCAGAACTGGGCACAGTACTCCAGGTGAGGTCTGACCAGAGCAGAATACAGTGGCACTATTACTTCCCTTGATCTAGATGCTATACTCCTATTGATGAGGCCCAGAATTGCATTGGCTTTTTTAGCTACCGCGTCACACTGTTGGCTCATGTCAAGTTTGTGGTCAACCAAGACTCCTAGATGCTTTTCACATGTACTGCTCTCAAGCCAGGTGTCCCCCATCTTGTATTTGTGCCTCTCATTTTTTTTTTGCCCAAGTGCAATACTTTACATTTCTCCCTGTTAAAATTCATCTTGTTTGTTTTGGCCCAGTTCTCTAATCTGTCAAGGTCGTTTTGAAGTGTGATCCTGTCCTCTGGGGTGTAAGCCACCCCTCCCAGTTTGGTGTCATCTGCAAATTTGATCAGGATGCTCTTGAGTCCATCATCACTGCCATGTCACTGCCCCCATTGGACTCATAATCTAGTGCCTCTGGCAAGAACAGAAAGCTCTGCTGATGCATGAGAAACTGGACCGGTCAGGTTAAAAGTCGGCAAGCTTTTTATCTATTGGCCTTCCGACCAGTGCATTGGCCTCATGGGTCTCATGAGTAAGCAGCAGGCGTCCTTTATAATGTGCATTGCTGATGATTTGTGCTCATGATGCTATTGGGGTGGTTATATGTGATCATGCTTTCAGCACCGTTTGCACCTACAAAAGTTTCAGGGCAGTTATGTTGCTTCAGCTGCAGCCAGTGCATGGGCCATAGTCTCCTGCTAAAACCCTGTAACTTTTCATACTACAAATGTTTCGTTCTATCTATCTATCTATCTATCTAGCCCTGCTTCTCTTGTGCAGTTGGCCAAGACTGCCCCTCCAGCTGGCAATAATGGAGAAGCATTGCAGGACAACTAATAAAACAAAAATATGCACGGCCAGCTCATAAACAAATCCACCACTAACACACCATTATTGCATCAATGGCATGTTACAGAGTACACTCACAAGAACACAATCTAGTCCGAAAGGGTCCTTGCTCCATACATTTTGTTTCTCTTCTTGTCTTGATCTCCGCTCTAAACTGTTCTAGTTTAAGCAGGCAAAACAAAGCAAAAATGAGGAGGTGAGTGGATTCTTTAACAACTGGGCTGGGCTGCAAAGTGCTATTGCTTTGCTTCACAGCTGTTTCTTGCATCTGGCCATGCCAAGTGCTTAAGCTTTAGCAGCTGACATGGTTTCCTTTGTTAGCAGCTTCACGCTTCTGTTCGCATCCGTCACAGGCAAGGTCCAGGCCAGCACAGCTCATCTGGGTGTGTGGTGTACTTCATCTATGTCAAGTTCCTCCAGCTAATGAAAATACTTCTCCAGAGTGAAAACTGTACTTTGCAATCCCAGCCTATCTGTGATTGAAGTCTAAACTCCTTGAAATTCTTGGCTAAAACCTAAATAGCACTCCAAGATTAGGATGATAGATGCTTCGCTCCCCAGAGCTTGACAGTTAATGGTTCTGAAAAGAAACCTCCAGATGTTTGCTGTGTTGGTGTCCTGGAAATCCATTTCACCTCCATGTGCATTCCCTGTGCAGCCTGGGAACCAAAGGTTCTTCTCCCATGATTCAACCCTCCCTTCATCCACGAGGTCACCGTGTATCTCCCAGCCTCCGCTTCTAACGCTGAAGGCAGTGCCTCCTGCTCGCCAGGTCTGCAGCCAATTAGAGGGAACAAATGGCTCTGAATGAGCACAGGTGGTAGCCGACCTCCTGCTGTTGGGTGTATGAGAGCTGGATTCTCATCAAGATGGAGCGCAGGTGCTTTGCAGTTCATTATCATTAAGAGAGGGAAGTTGTGGGAGGCGGAAGATGGAGACAGTAAAAGGCGCTGGAGCCACTGGGTGGGAAGGGTATGCCAGAGAGAGGAGGAGGAAAATACCTAAAACATTTCCATTTTAGACAATTGACTTTGTTATGCCTCTGTGCTCCAAGGTGCTCTGTGAACTCCTGAAGCAAATATTAGAGGGGAGTAATGGGATGCGGGTGGCATTGTGGGTTAAACCACAGAGCCTAGGGCTTGCCGATAGGAAGGTGGGCGGTTCGAATCCCCGCGATGGGGTGAGCGCCCGTTGTTCAGTCCCTGCTCCTGCCAACCTAGCAGTTCGAAAGCACATCAAAGTGCAAGTAGATAAATAGGTACCACTCTGGTGGGAAGGTAAATGGCGTTTCTGTGCGCTGCTCTGGTTCGCCAGAAGCGGCTTAGTCATGCTGGCCACATGACCCGGAAGCTGTCTGTGGACAAACGCCGGCTCCCTCGGCCTGAAAGCGAGATGAGCGCTGCAACCCCAGAGTCGTCCGCGACTGGACCTAATGGTCAGGGGTCCCTTTACCTCTTACCTAATGGATGGTGTGTTAAATCTAGACATGGAAACACAGCTTCAGATTCACAGTGAGCTATGCATGCCTTTTTTGCACATCGCAGAGGAAAAACTGCAGGTTTGCTGAAGTGGAGCTCTCCTCAACCTGGTGCCCTCCAGAATGTTTTGGACCCCTAGCAGCACCTGCCAGCATGCCTGGGAGCTGTAGTTCAAAACATCTGGAGGGCACCAGGTTGGGGGTGGCTGCTGCAGTGGTGAAGGTACCAAATTACAAACCAGAAAAATTATCCCACTTCTGAGCTCATCTCTTAGGTCACCCACTCTCTCTTAGTCCCCACTATGCAATACTGGCCTACCTTGCAAGGGCTCATGCAAATCATTGCAACAAAATGTGTGTGGAATGTCATGCACACTCTAAAAGTGCAAGCGAAATACCAAGTACTGTGATTGCCGTTATTCTTCAAGTCAGCCAATCCTGGCGCACCAAAACGTAGGCCAAGCTGCATGTTGTCACATTCACACTTTACAGCATTTAGTTGCAAACTTAAAATATTTCAGATGCATATTTAAATACCTTGGCCAAGTTCTTCTCTTTTAGCCTGACCAGTGCTTAGTTATCTACACAAACAGGTGCCAGGGGGTGAACTGTCCAGTCTCCTGCAGATGGTTTGCCATGTGATCCTGGCTCTGCATTTGATCTTTCACATGTGTTACTCATGTGTTACTTGGAGTGTGCTCAAGCCTCTTTCCTCCAACAGCTGTGTGTTGCCCCATTGAGTGAGCTCCTGCTTCTCAGTATTGGTACACTCAGTTCCTCAGGGGCACCTACACATGAGATGGAGCTTGCGCATTGTGGGTTTCATAATAGCTCTACGCAGGGCTGCCCTTGAAGCTGTCCCAGAAACTCCAGCGGGTGCAGAATGCTGCAGCGAGGCTCCTCACGGGGTCTCTGCCATGGGAGCATATTCACCCAGTGCTTTTCAAACTGCACTGGCTCCTGGTGGAGTACAGGGTCAGATTTAAGGTGCTGGTTTTGACCTTTAAAGCCCTTCACGGCCTAGGACCCTCATACCTACGGGACCGCCTCTCCTGGTATACCCCATGGAGGACCTTAAGGTCCATAAATAGCAACAGCCTAGAGGTCCCGGGCCCTAAGGAAGTTAGATTAGCCTCAACCAGAGCCAGGGCCTTTTCAACACTGGCTCTGGCCTGGTGGAACGCTCTGTCTCATGGGACCAGGGCCCGCAGGATCTGATTTCTTTCCGTAGGGCCTGTAAGACAGAGTTGTTCCACCTGGCCTTTGCCTTGGAATCAACTTGATCCCCTTCCCCTCTTTCCTTTTTCCTTTTTCCTTTCTACTTCTGTGACGGAACTCCTATTTGGGGACTTCCCTGGCTTTTTTCTGGTCCACGTAGGACCAGTCTGGATAGTTGGCCTTGGTGAAGATTTGACGTTTTCATCCCCAAAAAGTTTTTGATTTGAGTTTCTACTGAAATGAGGCTGCATTTTAATGTTGCATTTTAAACTTGTTTTTAAGTTGTATTTTAATCAATTGTTTTTATACCTGGTGTTAGCCACCCTGAGCCTGGTCTTGACTGGGGAGGACGGGGTATAAATAAAATTTATTATTATTTTTATAAAGAACTACAGGTTGTTTCAGGCAGGAGACACAGCCCCATCCCAACAATACACAGTTATGCCTTAAACACAGTTAAAAGAGTGGAGCTCCTCTCTTCTTCCTGCCTTTTCTCCTTTGAAATATATGTTCAAAAAGAAACAAAATGTTGGTGATGGAACAGGTGGTGAAATCCACTTTCAGTGGCCTAGGGTGTTGTTAAACACTCAGTGTGGGTTGCCTGGATGGGTGCTGTGACAGGCTCCTTTTGCGAGGAATGCTGGATCATTGCCCCTAAATTGGCACCAACTGAATGAATCATAGAATCCTTGAATTGTAGAGTTGGAAGGGACCCAAGGATCATCTAGTCCAACTGTACAGTGGTGCCTCACAAGACGAAATTAATCCGTTCCGCGAGTCTCTTCGTCTTGCGGTTTTTTCGTCTTGCGAAGCACGGCTATTAGCGGCTTAGCGGCTTTAAGAAAAAGGAAACAAACTCGCAAGAACTCGTAAGACGTTTCGTCTTGCGAAGCAAGCCCATAGGGAGATTCGTCTTGCGGAACAACTCAAAAAACGGAAAACTCTTTCGTCTTGCGCGTTTTTCGTCTTGCGAGGCATTCGTCTTGCGAGGTACCACTGTACTGTAATGCAGTATTCTCAGCTAAAGCATCCATGGCAGATGGCCATCCAACCTCTGCTTCAAAACCTCCAAGGAAGGAGAGTCCATCACCTTCAGAGGGAGTTCGTTCCATTGCTGAACAGCTCTTACCGGCAGAAAGTTCTTCCTGATGTTTAGTTGGAATCAACTTTATTGTAACTTGAAGCCTTTGGTCTTACCCTTTGGAGCAAGAGAAAGCAAGTTTGCTCCATCGTCCATGTGACAGCCCTTTAGATATTTGAAGGTTGCTTTCATATCTCCTCTCCGTCTCCTCTTATCCAGCAAAACATACCCAGCTCCCTCAACTGTTTCCACATCCTTGATCATATCCGTCGTTGTCCTCTGCACACTATTACTTCCCTTGATCTGGACACTTTACTTCTGTTGACACAGCCTAGAATAGCTCTTTTCTTTTTCTTTTTCTGCTGCTGCTGCATCACACTGTTAACCCTGGTTAAGCTTCTGGTCTACTATGACCCCTAGATCCTTTTCACATGTACTACTAGCAATCCCAGTGCCCCCCCCCATTTTATATTTGTGCAGCTGGTTATTCCTGCCTAAGTGCAGAACCTTACATTTGTCGCTATTGAAATTCATTTTGTTAACATGTGCCCAGTTCTCCAATCCGTTAAGGTCATTTTGAATTTTGACTCTGTCTTCTGTAGCATTAGCTACCGCTCCCAGTTTGGTGTCATCTGCAAATTTGATGAGCATCCTCTCGATTCCTTCATCCAAGTCATTTATAAAGAGGTTGAACATCAAGGGGTCCAGGACAGAACCCTGCAGCCCCC